TAGCCCCTCAGTTTCCAATACAACGAAGTCACATCTCTGCTGTCTAGAAGAGTGGATGGTATGCTCTGACGTTGACTGAGTCATGTTAGAACATATCGTGCTGTGTTCCTGGGAGGGTGCAGACGAGCAGAGATGACGTGGAGAATGACCCTTCTCGAGGCACACACACCTCCGCCGCGTAAGAGGCAGTATTCCTGTGATGCGTAGCTAATGACTGAACCAAAATCGAGTCTACCGCGCATCTGTGGGGAGCTCTGGAGACTGGAGGTCGGTTATCTATAGGAAAGATTGGAGCGCAGAGTTTCCATTATCAACAAATTGTGCTTCCGTGCAACAGAAGGAAAAAATGGGATAAAAGGATAAAGGCAAATGTCTCCGCCGTTGATCAATTCCTTTCTGAGTACGGCATGCATTCTTCTTCCACTCAGAATCGTAGTGGATTATTGAATGCGATACGGCCTATACAATAACATGCGCGGTCCATCCGATGGACAGTCAGTGCTGTGAAATTCGCGTAAATGTGAAATTCGCCTCTACACAACCTCCTCCATAACAGAGTGGGGTACCTATGAATATCCTAGGGGGCCTTGCCGTGACGATTACGCAGGGAATAAGTTCCGAGTATCAAGTAGGATAGCTTCACAACCAAATATTGAGGCCGTAGTTTTTTTTACTTAGATCCACTGATTGGTGGTCAGTTTGATTAAAGGGACACTGAAGCTGCTTTTGAAAGATGCGCAGTACTTGTCTTGTTTCAATGTTTTTGATGTTCTGCTAGTATTTTATGTCTATCAATAAATATTTTATAGGATATTAGATATTCCGAGGTATTGTATGAATTTTAGGTAACTGAAGCGGATTTGATAGAATCGCTCGGGTCGTTTGGTACAATTGCTTATGTGACTATGCTACAAGCACAAAGGATGGCACTGGTGGAATTCGAAGAGCAGAAAGGTTGTTTTCCAGCATTATGTTCCAGTTCTTTGCAGGCATTACCAGTATTGGGTCAGCTCGTAAGTAGTGGTGTTTCTTTCTCACTCGAACTCCTGTGTAAGTGATGAAACCTTTTACCGACCGCTTCATTTTTTCTGGAAAGAATTTCATGTTCTATACAATAGTGCTCGTTGTTCGGCCTGCGCGGGGGGGGGGGGGAGTGGAGTGTTTTCAGTTCGCTAGTTTATTTTGCTAGTTCCTGTTACCTTACACATCTCTCCTTGGTGAGACCCGTAGACTCTTGTCAAGTATAAGGCTGCGTTTATACTTTGCACCAGCGTTTTGAGCGTTTCGCCGGTAGTTTTGAACTTTTCGCGGGCATAACAATGCCTTGAAAATGGCTTGAAATTGGTTGCAAGGATCCAAATATGCAAAGTTCGCTCTCGTAGGTGCGCATCGCCTCGGAAACCCCGCTTATAGTCAGTTCGATGGGGCCGGCTCCTGAAACTATGCACTACATTTTCGAATCTTTTCCTCCGTTCGTGACATTATACCGTATTGAGGAACTGCTTAGTTGTTCCTAATTCCTAATCGTCTGGGGTGGATGTCACCTGTAAGGTTAAGTATCATGGATAGCTGGTGTTCAATTATGGACCAGTAGCTTGTAAATGATTCCCAAAGAAGAAAACCGAAAAGAATCCGCAGAACACCATAAACAAAGTCGCTCCCTGACAGTCACATAGCCTCATTGTACAAGTTCTCCGGACTTGCGAGTCACTCGACGGTCTCTGTGCAGCCCCTAGCTTCGCATCCCCCGGTACTAAATGGTATCCAGTGCAAAAAAAGGAAACTAAAAACAAGAAAAACACGGGAGCAAAACTCGCAATAGAATTAACTTTCGGTGACTCTGCGCATGACTTTAGGTTTACGGTAGCAAGGCACGTCGAGCTTATGCACCAACCAACCACATCACTTGTGATTCGAACGCGTTTTACCTTGCGAAATGGATTGCTGTTGACTGTATGCGCTCCCAATAGAAAGTGTAATGAAGGAGAGCAGAATCACTTATGAGCAGGAGCGCGGCCAGCGAAAATGGACACGATATCGTCCGTCGCCCCAAAAACAACAACTGGTCGTCCTTGCGTTTGATGTGAAGAGGAATGGTCGTGGGTGGGGTTCAACTGAGTGGGTGTCTAAACTGGATTTGGAACGTTCGAGGGCACTCTTGAAGACGGACCCAAGCTCAAACGATTTGTGGTCGTCTTTACCACGAACTGCTTGAGAGCGGGTCTGCCTTTGAGAAAGCGTCCAGAGCGGCATTTGCCTGCGAGGTTGAAATTGAAATCTTTGAGACTATTCGGACGAACTTTAAGCCAGGAGTCCACTGTTTTTGACTGTGAACTTAGCGGATTGAGCACAATTTTTTTTGCTAACTTCACCGGCCCAGCGACTCGAAATGCCCTGAGATCGTCAATCTCTTCATCATCATGGCTCGTCTGTTACTTGTTGCTTAAGTGGTGTTGATAGTGTGTTTGTAAGAACAAAGCGGTGCTGCCAATTGTCTGTGATCTGTGATGTTTCATGATTTTCTCCTGATTCACCGCGGCATGAGCGGAATGAACCGCTCTGCTAGGTCTTAGCAGTAAAAGACCTCTATTTTAGGCCTGCAATAAAAGTTCCGCCTGAAAACCTCATTGGCACAGAAGAATATCATGAAATTCACGACAAAGCCGAGATAATACGGCGAGAGAAGCTGGAGTCTCTGATAGTTGCTTCTCTTTCTTCTCTCTTTCGCCCTGCTTGCAGAAATTCCATCAGCATCACAACAGTGCTTGGTGTTTTGTAGAGAAAGTTGTTTTTTACGTGGCAGCAAAATTCGTTGGCAGAACATTTTGTCCTTCAAATAAAATTTTAACGAGGAAAAAACGCCATTACTTCTGGACCTAGCCAATTCATCCGCTACCAAGTTTCAATGTTCTGTTCTTCTTTATTAAAATTACCCAAATTTCAGCCGCTACAGCTTGCATAAATTTTGCTGCATCAAATCTCATTTATGTTGGTGGAGGGACACCTATGTTCAACTACTCCACCTCAAAGAAAGTGCAACGAACGGGTTTCGAGTCAGATACGCCCTCCAAGGTCCTCGTCATTACTGTGTACAATGTGCGAATTCCTATCGATGTTCATGTGAGTTACACCTCCTAATAAAATGATTTCCTTTCTGAATTATAGTCTGGTTCGCTGCGGACGAGGGGGCGTGTCAGTCGAGATGAGATTGGCACGGTGCCAAACCCGTTCTCCACCAGATGTTGGGGCGACAAGACTGAATAATATAATTCGTATCACTCGTTTTCTACCAGTTATTGCCGCTAACCTGCTTCAACGACTAGTGGAGGAGCCCTGCCAAACCCATCCTCAGGACATGCTCCTTCATCCGCAGCAAATAAGACTGTAAGTAACTGCGATTAGCGAGGAAACACGGCGGGGTGACTAAGCCTGCGGCTCAAACTCGCAGCGTATTCGCTGCCAAACTAACTTAAAGGCAGCGCCCACGTTCATTTGATGTTCCCGCGCCCTCTCTGGATATCATAGCCCTCCCTATGAGGATGCAGTATGTACTAGTTTTGCATCTCAAAAAGGCGAGAGGATAGCGCCGTTCGCTAGTGAAGAGTCGGCCGCCCCGCCCACCTGGCCAGCATAGGGTTCTATATAGGGCATTTTCCATGATTTTTTTCTGCTTTTTTCTTCACTACTGGATCCATAACTATTATTCTTGAAAGCGGGCTCATCCTTCAGAGGCTAAGCCAAAACAGTTCTAGCAGCCAGGATGGCGGCGCGGGTGGCCCGATCCTCTTTACTTTATCCTCCACCCTTGTCGACAAAGCTACGATATCTAAGGAGGGCGTAGGAACATCAAATGAACGCGGGCGCTGCCTTTAGGGTCGTAGAGAGGATATACTCGTTTTTTATTCAATTGCCCTTGTATCTCACAACGAATAGGGAGTTCAGTTATGATACGCGATTGATTGACTGAATCTTAGAGGGCTCTATTGACAGCGGTGCGAATTCTTGGATATTTCCCACCACTCCATAACTGAACTTAGTTTTAGGTCTTTCATCGAGTCTGCTGTCCGCACGCTCATGTGGTGAGAGCGGCAATCGTTCGCAAATCCGTTATGCAGGCGCTAGTGGAGTTTGAGAATGTCGAAAGCGCAAGGAAGGTTAAGCATGCAACAAATGGTGCTGACATCTATCCGGGAAGTTGTACATTAAAGGTGGAATTCGCAAAGGTGGGGCAAAGGTTTGACTGTCTTCATTATTCAAGGTAGTATCATCGAATAATTTACCATTTTAGCTAGAATTTGTAAAAGTCACTCGTCAGGATGCAGAGCAGTGGGACTACACATGTGCCCAAGGTAAATATTTTCTTTGTCTCATCGCGTTTTCTCAGTCATGGAAATGACTGTTTCATCGCGTAACCCTTTATTCCGGCTAACTGCAGTCAAATTTTTTCTGGTCATTTTTCCCCTGATAAGTCATCCTTCCCTTGATATAACCTTATCGTTGTGGTAGTGAGAGGCTACGGCTGTATTCATACTTTGCGGAAAGAAAGAAGAATAGATCATATTCAGTGAACGACAGCGTCCACCAACGCCTCGAGCGGTAGGGAAGTATGGGTATCGATCTAGCGTCTGCCAGCGTCCACCAGCCTCAGGATTTTACAGTATGGGCAAGCAGGAGTGTAGCAGACAGCTGGATTAGGCGTCGTGAAAATAGGGCGTGTGCGACGGCGCAGTACAACGCTAAAGCACAGAATTATGCAATATTGATGTACGGTGTAGTGCTTATACGGTTCCGTTGCACAGACCGCAATTTCAATACTGTAATCCAGCTGTCTGCTACCCTCCTGCTTCCCCATACTCTCTTTTGCTGGATGCTGTTGACCGCTGCGCAAAGTATGAACGCCGCCTAAGGCCGACTTTGCAGTTAGCGCAAAGGTGCTGTCTTTCCGTGAGTGCTGACCACGCTCTGCAACCAAGGAGGAGGTACCCCTTTAGCGGCTTGGAAAAGCGCCGAAAGCGTTTTAAGCGAATCGCTTAGCTGGGAAGGCTCATGCAGACGTTTTGCCGTGTGTAGTAGCCGTGCTGTATTTCCTTCCACCACCACATGTTAGTCTGGTCTCTGCTGGCATCTTATCGTACTCATCGTACTCGCACGATGCGGAAATTAAAGTAGTCTTACCTTAGTTGGGGAGTTTTCAATGTTTTTCTCTGCTTTTTTGGGTTCCATAGCACATTTGTTTTTTATATATGCTACCCAATTCATAATTACAAAATTTGTCTTAAAGGAGAACTGCCTGGAGGTCCTCAGCCGCGAAAGCAAAGGAAAACACTTTTGCCTGCACCAGGTGCGCTGTTCCTCATTTCTGTAGATTTGTTTCCTATTTCTCCTGTTGTTAGATGAGTACTCACGGCTGCGTTCACACTTCGCGATGGCGAGGCGTGGAAGCGCTGCCGTTGCAATCCTGCGCCGGTGTATCGATCGACGCCTGTAGCTAGTGTCTCGGAGAAGAGTAATAGAAGCAATGGGATGGTAACCAGCCAATTTGAGTTAGCGCATAAAAGATGGAGATAGTTTGGGCAGTGCTGTCCAAAAACTTCACACGTCTTTCGTTGAGAAAGCGTCTAATCACGCGTCTGAACGGATGTTTCTCGTATAGCTGTCCGCAACACGCAGCGCCCGTCGCCCATAGATACCAGGCTGTAGCAGTGGAGCGTGTTTGCAGCGGTAGCAAGGCGACGCGCTACGATGCGTTCTATCGCGAAGTCTGAACGCAGGAGTGTTAGAACTAACTTCTTTCGTTTACAGAGCCTTACGGCTATGTACAGGCCGGATATCCAGGAAGTAATATTGAGGAAAACAGCGGTAAAGAAGGTGGTTCCCACGCATCGAGCGGTTTATTGGTAGGTCTATATTTATTTGTTATTTATCAGGGTGCTACACACAGTTTTCTCCGCGACGGACGCTGGGGCGTGGGAGGGGAGCTGGGTATAAGGCAACGCCAGTTCTCCACCATTTGTGGAAGCTGGATAGCGACCTCAATTGGTGGAAAGTGGCAGGTGGCGAGCCAAACCCAGCTTTTTCCCCCTAGAACGCCTAGCGTCCGCAGCGAACAAACTAGTGTTTCTCTGTGCATTCGATATATCTTTATGTTCACAGCTTCAATTCAACCTAAGCAAAACATAAATTTCTTCGGAATTTCTACGACAGTTACTCATTTTCTCATGTTTCAATGTTTGTTTTTCAGGGATCGAGCCCCTACGACAGTCAGGACTCCCTAGGACGTCAGTCTGCATTTCATATTTTTTTGTGAAAAAACGTTTTATTCTTATTCTTTTTAGGTGGAATATTACGCCCTCTCCCAGCTTATCAGTCTGGTGATCACGGAGACTGTCAATCTTCACTTGATTTACCTGTGAGATAGTTGAATTCACTGCTTGAGTGAGAGTTCAAAAGCACCTCGAAAGAAGTCGTGTTCAGGGTCGCGTAGTAATGATCTATGGTGTCGATCGCGAAAAGCTTAACTGCGAGAAGCTGTTCAGTTTATTGTGTCAGTATGGAAACGTTCTTAGGGTAGGTATTTTCGAAGTTTTACTTGTTTCTCGTGCTTTGAGTATTTACCTTCAGATTCGTTTTATGGGTAAGAAAAGGGACACTGCGATGGCTGAACTCGGAACTCCAACAGCTGTACGTTACTTTATGACACTTTCGCGATGAATTGGCTTCCCCATACGATGAGAGTACATTCATAGCTCGCGATTCGGTCGTTCTGACAGTGCGAGCGATTTGGTTGGTCTGATCGGGCGCGCAGTTCGGTCACGCGATCAGAGCGACCAGATTGGATGGCGCGCGTCGACGCGCTATAACGCGCGTCAACGTGCTACTGCAACATCGCTGCGATCCTGCAGACGCGAATGCAGCCGCAGATGGCAATCGATCGGCGCCAGCAGTCGTATCTCGAACCCTTGACGTTCCACGCGCACAAAAACAGGCAATAACGAATAATAAGTGGGAAATTTCTTCGTTGCGATAGATTTCTCAGAAACCGGGCTTTATTTCGGCTTTTTTCGACGGTTTCTTCCACTTTTTTTCTCGCTGCTTCGCATTCAACTAGAGATCCCAGAGTCTAGATTTGCGCCTCCGGTCCTAACGTATGTGCAGGTGTGAATCGCCTTGGGACATACTAAATGTCTGCTTGACATGGAAAAAGGTCGATTCTCTTGTTTAGGTTGGCCAATGTTATAAAATATCTGCAAGGAGTTACACTATTTGGATTGAAGATGTGAGACTGAAAACAAGCATCTCAAAATGTCGTGCCGATGATGTTTATGTAAGTCTTCCTCCTTGAAGCCTTGGTTGAGCAGAGGGGTCTCATGAAGGTCCTGTAATGGCTAGAGAACTTTGATAAAAAGGGATAACACAAGTCCTAAACGCAGGGAAGGGTTATTTCGCGCGCTTGAGGCCTTCATTTGCATCTCGATGTATGGAAAAACAGAAAGAATGAGACGACTTTGCATGTTATCATTCATCCTCTAGCGCCGCGTTTATACTTTGCGACAAGGAAAACCAGAGAACTGGGGAAAGTAGCTCAGGGCGTCACGATGTCAAAGTTGGATCGAGTGGAATAACCTCTTCCGCTCTACGAATGAAAAATTGGCTTTCACCGAAGTTTCGGCTAAAAAAGGCGTTTTTCCTTTGAACATGATGGAACGTGGTGGTTCGAACATTTAAAATGTGGGATTTGTCTGGATTTTCAGGGGGAGGGATGATCTTCCGGATGGTTCTCCTTCGTTTCGTGATTTTTCGATGCTATCTCTACAGCGCTTCTCCACTCCAGAAGTTGCTGCTCGAAATCGGCTCACGGTTCCAACAAAAGTTTTGCACTGGTACAATGCTCCTGCTGATATGACTGAAGAAAAGATCAGACAGGCAAGTCTTCCCGATGACCATAATTCTTTTAGAAACATTCTGGTTCGAGAATTCTGTTCATTTTCTCCAATTTTCATTGTCCAGGTGTTTTCTTCGCGCAATGCTCCAGAGCTTAAATCAGTGACAGTTTTTCTTGGAAAAACTGGAAAATCGTCAGCTGGAATCGTTGAATTGGAAACCATCGAGCAGGCGAATGAGGCTCTCGTCCTTGTTAATCACACCCGTGTTCACACCCCACTTTCAAAGGTGAGAAGAATAGTCGATGAATAGTTCTCGTCTATATGCGGTACATATAATCTTTATCCCTGCGAACGGGAGAAAACGCGAGAGGGCAATAGAGCGCAGCCAGGGTGGTCTTTTCCACTAACTGATTCATTTTTGTGCCCGTCACATTGTTGGAAAAAGCTGCCTCGGCTGCGCTACAGGCCACACTTTCCACACCCTCTCGTTAACGGGAATAGTGAATGTGCAGTCCGAAAAATGCGAAATAGAGTAAATGACGGGTGTCGGACCTTACACCCACTTTGCTGAGACGTCCTCGGAGACACAACGCACGCTCGGCTGCGAGGTGCGTTCTTATCAACTGTCCGGGCTAACGCGTCCCAGCTGTCGGAGCGTGGCTGTTTCCCCGCTATAACATGCGCAGGGATGGGGAAACAGGCAGGGCAGGCCATCGTTGATCACAACGGAGGATGGTCGTATTTGACCGCGCGTGAGGGGGTCGTATTGGTCTG